AGCTTACATGATGTTAAAGTTTCCAGTGTTTGTGTTTTTAAGAAATAAGAAGGAACTAAAGTAGAGTTGGGGCTAAGGATTTGTTCCTTCACTCAGTCTGTCTTCATTTCTCTCTCTCTCTCTCTCTCTCTCTCTCTCTCTCTCTCTCTCTCTCCCCCCCTTTCCTCCCTCTCTCATTCTCCCTCTCCCTCCCCCCACCCTCTGTCTCCCTCTCCAGTTTTCCCTTCCTCTACCTTTCCCCACTACTTCCTCCATTCCCTCCCCTTTTGCTATTTTTCTGTGCTTATTAACTTTTTTAATGTTTAGAACTATTTGCCAGAGCTAGTAGCAAACTAAAAGCAAAACAATCACCCTCCTTTATTCCCCCTCCCTTCTGCCTGTCTTTCCTCTGAGTTGTCTCATTGCTCTTCCTTGTGCATCTCCTGGTAGGGAGAAGTACTGTATATTTTCTGAGTGCCTAGCATCGACAGGTGCATCAGGTTAATTTTTGTTATTTCATCTACATGCTGACAGGAAATGGGGTGGAGTCAGGATTTGAAGTCAAGTTCAGTCAGTCTCCATGAACACATTCTTCAAATGTGATACCTATTATTGGCATTTTAGAAGTTCATTACTGCCATAAAATGGATCAGAATATGAAGAAAATACATTAGATACTGTGAGACTCTGGTTTGTTCCCATTCCAAACAATATGCTTAAGTCGTGCTTGAGTCCATTCTCAGCTTCAACCTCCAGAATTCTAAAATCTAACTACACCTCTAATAGCAAACCTAAGAGCTGTTTAGTTCCTCATTCTATAGTGTACAACAATGGGCCCCCAATGGAGTTAGCCTTCTGTTTATGGCTATAGACACTGAGGCTTCTCTGATTCCACATAGGAATCAGAGCATCTGGCATTGAGGGAGGTCTTCTGTAAGCTACTCAAAGCCTCACATTAACGACTGGAAGTATGAGGCCTGCATACTTCGTGATCTTGCCAGCAGAAAGCAGACTTACTAAATTCCATTAAAAAGAAGCATTTCATGGAACTTGGATGAAAGCAACTAGATTTACTGAGTAGCCTGTTTTTCCAATCCCAGACTTTATGAAAGCAAGCAGAAAAACCAGAGCCATCTACAGTCTTCTCTTTATTGATCCGACATCCCCAAAGATTTTGTAAGCACCTAAATCCTTACATTTAAATCCTTTTCTGTTTGAATGCCAAGCATAGTTGCTATTTTTCTCACAAACCCTCACTAAGACAACTATACAGCTATATACGCACTCCTGTCACCAAGCTGACGTTCTATCCTATACATCTTTCTCTATTAAGACACTCATATATTTTATTTGTCAACTTCCCCTTTACAAACTGAATTATCTTCATGTCAGGGGTCATAAGATAACATAGTCTTTGTTATGACTATACCTGGCACATAGCAGATGCTTAATAAACAGCAGTTGACAGAGCAGACTAACCTCATGCCATTTACACAAATTTATTTCCTAAATATCATCAATCTACATTCAGGATTAGTTTTGTTCAAGAAATGCAGCCTCAGGATGGGACCACTAAGATCTGAATGTTTTTGAACACTAAAAATTCAAATCTTAAGAAATTGAAGGGCAGAGAGTGGGGTACATGAGGAATTCAAGGAGAGCTTTGTTGTGTGCAAAAGTTCCTGGAATATTCAAGAACACAACATACCTAGGTCTAGGGAACAACTTCTCTTGCAACTCCCTATGTCATGTCATGGTTCTGATTCTCCATCTATTTCTTTTCCCTCCTAATTGTGCTTATTTTCACAGAACCTTCATTGTTCTTTCTAACTCACACCCAAACCTAATGGTTTATGTTCTTTAGAAGGACAATTATCAGAGATGTCTGTTTGTTTTCATAGATTTAGTCTTGCCTGAATTGTTTTTAAATTTTTCCTTTACCTTTCTACTATACCCTACACCAAATAGATAGATGACTTCACATATTCAAGGGAGGAATATAATCTGCAAGTGTTCTTTCTTTCTTTCTTTCCTTTTGGTAGGCATGCAGTTTGAACTCAGGTCTTCACACTTGCAAAGCAAGCACTCTACTGCTTGAGCCACACTTCCAGTTCATTTTGCTCTGATCATTTTGGAGATGGGGACTCATGAACTATTTGTCTGGGCTGCTCTTCAACCACCAAATCTCAGCCTCCCAAGTTGCTAGGATTATAGGTGTAAGCCTCCCTGCTGTGCTTATAAAAGGCATTTTTTGATCATCATGGACTGTTTCAAAAAGGTTAGATGGGCAAAAGCTCTTGGTGGCAGAGTGGTTCGTTTTCTTATTGCAAAGCAGTTAATGGCTATGTCGTAGATGTGTCCAGGAGCAACACAAGCTTACAAAGATTGTGGATCCTAAGCAAGATACAGAAAAACTGAGCCATGCTAATCAAGTGCTGACCAAGTTGTGAAGGCCTATGTGGAAAAACAACATGAACAGAGAAGTCTCCCACCAAAAACTGGATAGATAACCTAGTAGCATCCAGAACTTAGGCACATCAAAGCTAAATTAGATTGGATTTCCCTTCAGCCTAGAGGAATGAGCTCTCTTGAATCAGGAAATCAATCTATAGCAATAAAATAAATAAATTTTGCATGCTCTGAATTTCTGCATTGAGATTCACATCTGGTATAAAATCAAGAATTTGTGTTGTTACTTAGAGAGGTGCTCAATACCCAAATGCTGAGTCCAAAGCCACATGAATATGGGCTCCTGTGACTTCCCTCAGTTGGAAACAAGGAGCTGATTAATCCTCAGCTGACTGTAGCTTGACCAACACTGAAGAGAAAAAGCAATATGTATATTAACAGCGGGCCTCATGATAGAAAAAAATACCACCACAAGTCAAAATCCAGGACAGCAAAAAAAGAATCAAGTAAAACATGGAATCAATGAACTGTCACATTCAGACTTAGAAAGTTTAACAAGCTACTTATGATCATGAGATCTGTCACTCAAATAGTGCTTGTTTTATGCTCAGACCTATTAGAAATGATTTAATCTATGCCTATAAAGTATGGAATATTATTAGTCCCATTTTATGGAGAATGAGACCTACCCAAGGTCATATCTATGGTAAGAGGGCATCTTGAGATTTGAACTTGGATAGTTTAGCTTCACAATGCTAGTTTTGCTCAGAAGGAAAAAAGTTCCCATCTTTGAATGTTTTAACTCCCAAGGGAAGAGATTAACAAATCCACTCATTTTATTTTTAAAAGAAGGAAACAGCCCCAAAGAAGGTAGAGTTGTTCAGAGTCACATAGATCAGCATATCACTCATCTTTGTTTCATGACAAACAATACTCATTGTCAATCAAATTAATCACTTTGTTTTTAATGTTTCCCAAAGGGAAAATCAAAAGTTTTAAGCCTAGTCTTTGAAAACCTTCCAGGATTTTCACCTCAGTTGCTCTAAAGCTGACCTGGAACTTATGTGACAGGATGCTAAGTGGTCTACACAGCCAGGTAAAGCACATTGATGGATCTTTTCCCAGGTGTCTAATGCAAGGTTGTGCCAAGAAGCCACTTAACTGAAGAGCAGAAGGGAACCCAGGGGGGCTTGAGTATAGCCACATAAGAATAAGGGAATTTAATGCCTAGCAAGGGTTTCTCTACTACTCTTCCAACACTTAGGATTATAGACCTGTATTTTGTAAATGTGATGTTTATGCTGTTCTATTTTTGTTCTATCCATTTCGTTTCCCATGGAAAACTCTTCTCCTTCACCCCAAAGCAAAGTGAACATTTTATTCTCCCTAGCTTTTTAGCCATGGGCTCCCTTTATCCAAGCCTATCTTATTGGCATGTCCAAAGTCCATGGGAGAAAGTACAAAAGAAAGTAAGTCCTGCTTCTGACTCTTGCAAGTGAATGGTTTAATTATGGAAAGATTGTTTTTAATCCATCATGGAGGCAAAATGTTGCCACAAGAAAGCAGTCTTATTTAGATCACTGGATACTCAGTGACCTCTCATCTTAATCCTCTTTGCTTTGGTTGGTTTCACATGTCCTGTCACTAATACGCTCAGACTGAAAGCTGAATTAGATATTTGGAAAAATGTCACTTGCTTGTTTCAAACCTTTTCGATCCTTACTTCAGTTTCCATCCTAAGAATTTTCTCATGACTTGTACAAAAATTATTATGAAGTATACAATAAGGATACAATAAAAGTAAAAACAGAGGAAAGAAAACAGTTGAATATATGATAAGAATGCTATTGATATAGCCCAAAAAAACACAGTAATTTAAGAAAGATTTGATTCTACTATAGTTGGACAGGAAAGAAGAAAAAATATGAAAACTTTTGGTATCAGAGCCCTGAATTCTTCTAAGTTAAAGAGGAGTGCTATATACTATATACATGAAAGATACTGGTATTGTCTTTACCAGAAGTCATAGATTAGAAGATTAAAACAGAAGACCCAGATTCAAGAAACAAATACATTTAATTTCTTAGATATCTACTTGAATTTTGACATCCTCTCCAGTAAATATGTTAATTTGACATGTGCCAATAATAAGTTGCTGGTGTTACTGAGAAGTCACTCAAGGTATAACATTAATTCTTTTTTTTTTCGTTTATTCATATGTGCATACAATGTTTAGGTCATTTCTCCCCTATCCTTCACCCCCCCCCACCCCCTCCCTCTGGCCCCCTACCCCCTCGCTTCCAGGCAGAAATTGTCTTACCCTTAATCTCTAATTTTGTTGAAGAAAGAGTATAAATAATAATAAGTAGGACAAAGGGTTTTTGCTAGTTGAGATAAGGATAGCTATACAGGGAGATTCAAATCTCTTTTCCCTCAAAGAAGTCTGGCTCTGGACTTTATGCATAATAGACAGACAACTAACTTCACCATGACTTCCAGACAAGCCATGGATAAACAACATAGCAAAACAGGCAATGACAGACTCACTTCTGGCCTTTAGGTTTTAAAGTACCTATCAGGCTGACAGATGTAAATTTGGCTGTGGTACTTACCGCATTAAAATTTGGGAAGAGGTTGACTGCAGCTGCAGTATCAAGTGGAAAGGGAAGAAATGGTTTAATATCCAGTGATGGTTGCAAAGGAGGGGCTGGTGGACGGACCAGGGCTGGGATAGCAGGACTCTGGCATGTGCCACCTGCAGAGATGAGAGCAAAAGGAGCAATCAGGGACACAGGTATGAAAATAAATAAATAATAACCACCATGATCTCTTTGGAGACAAAAAGGCCAGCTTTATGGATCATTAGAAAAAACAAGACACAGAGCATACTGACCTCAACTGGGAACTGGCCAGTGAGAAGATTTGTTAATAGACAGCCAGAGCTAGTTGAGCTGCTCCTTTTCCTTGGCTTATAACTATCTGATTATGGAAGTATCAACATTTCAAGTTCCACAGCCTGTTTTTGTTTTGCTGCCTGAAGCTCTGAATTGGGTCAGCAACAAATCTGTACTCAGGATCTCTGGATTCAAAAGGAAAGCCCTTCCATCGTTTGCTTATCCCTCTTTGAAAACTAACCTACTCAGAATATTCTTGAAGTCTGTTGTTCCTTTGCAGAACTGCTCTTTTCCACCAATCCAAAACTCTGGCAGTAAGATGACATGAATCTGGCACAGATAAGAAACTTAACCATAAGCACAGGCAGCTCTACCTTACTGCCTTAGCAACTTGAGGATTAAAACCCAGAAAACCCAACGATACAAGCCAAGCAGCACTGAGCTGTTCACCACCTCTCCGGCATTCAGTGTTCAACAACTGCCTGCCTCTACTCCAGTCATGAGTAGGTGGAATTTAGATGGGCACCAGTGAACAGGCAGCAGGAATATTACACCAACGGACACCCCCTTTTGCAGAACAGTGGGCAGCCAGCTGCTTGCAAGGGTGCACACACCTCTTTCCCGTGTTTTAGGAAGGCCACTGTACTCAGAGGCTGGAAGGATGGAAGCTCAGCTTCTGTGTTCAGTCTCCCATATTTTGATAACATTCCAAAACATCAATTTGCTGTTAATTAAAGGCTGTTTGAATCCTAGGAAACTGTTAAAATATGCCAGCCTTCTTCTAATCTGAGAGGCAAGCAACAGACTGTAAAAACCTGCTGGTAAGAATCCAAGAAGCATTAGGAAAACAAAATGCAGTGAGATATTTTCCTTTCTCACAGCAAAGAGTTCTAGAAGACTGACATGTTCATGTCTGTGCCAGTCATATGACTGCCATGCTGTTTTTAAAACAAAGTAGAGTAAGGCCACATACAAATCAGATTTACATGTCTCACAACCAACTCTCCTGCCAGGCGTGCACAGACCATTGTCTTCCTTCAACCAGGTACCAGAGCACAAAGGAAACATTCTGAAGTGATTTCCCAGTGATAAATCTTAACTGTATTAGGCAGAGGATCTGCTAATGAGGTGGATAACTGAATACCTAAAACAGAAGCCATCAGTACAGGATTTAATTAACCACACACAAGAACCATCAGCTCTCCTGCTGCCAGGTATAAAATCAGCTGGAGCCAAATTAACAAAAAAGCATTTTTCTCACTGTTTTAACTTCCCTCTTGATAAACTCGTCAACAAGATCAAGGCCAACAACTGAAGTTCAAATCAGCAAACCAACTAAAAACTAGTACAAGGGCAGGAAGTAATGGACAGATGTTAAAACAGAGATAAAAACCAAAATAGAGTAAGTCTATGTTCACCAGAGTATACCATAAACTTATTTTATCATCCATCTGGTAGGGTGTTGAGTGTGGGTTTATAACCTTTTCTAGAGAGGGCATCCACACAACTTCTGTGATCGAACTGTTGTGAATTTAGTGTCACCAAAAGTTTCCCTTTAATAATAAGTTAAGGGACCAAAATAAAAATTTGGTATCTGTTTCTTTATAAAAATTAAGAATAAGTCTCAGAACCTGTCTCCAAAAGAACTTGATCTATGGGCATCAAGTTATCATGTTCAGGAGTCTATGTGAAATGTTAAGTACTTTATTCTGGAATCGATACTTGGCTCCAAATAGCACTGATATTGAATCACAGAATTTAAGTTATTTCTTAAAAATGACCCATAACTAATATTTTTTGCTTGTAAAATCTGGAATAGTCCTGAAAGGTTTTACCTGTAAAAGTCTGTACGTGATCAGACTATTTAAAAATAGTGAAAATTCAAAACTGGCAAACATGTTTCATCTGCAAAGCAGATTAAAACATACTTCTCAAGAAAATATTTTGTTTTTTTACTTCCTAAATAGAAACATTTGCATTCAAGACATGAATGTGTTTGTTATTTCCTTATTATAGAGTTATCTCAACAAATATGAAAATACAGCCTGAATTTGGAGACATCTCTAAAGGTGAAAAAGGAATCTTGTTATTAACATTTACCAATAGTGCTGCTTTATTCGTTGGAGTGTCACACTTCTAGAAATATTAAGAGTCTTAATTTGAGGAAGGGAATTCAAAGTCTCCATGAAATAGAAACTACGGGAGACATAACATCATGTCTTTGTATTTGTAACACTGTATCTAGCACATAAAATATTAATTTTATACATTTTTTCTTTTTTCAGACCGGTTCTCCTTATGAAACCCATGCTGACCTCAAACTTGCAACCCTCCTGAGCACTGGAATTACACATGTGATGTGTGCCACCATCCATGGCCTTATACACAGTTTTGTGCTTTTTTTTTTCAGTACTGGGTTTTGAACTCAGGGCCTCATGCTGGTAAGTAGGAGCTCTATCACTTGAACTTCTCTGCCAGCCTTATACACAGTTTTAACAAAATAAATTTTATCAGTTAATCTGATTTCAGAGCAGTTACTGTCTTTCCATACCAAATTTATAAGCATTGAGAATAGAATACTTATTAACATTGAGTAAGGTACGGGTAATAAAAGTAAGTGAGGTAAAAGGAGTGACATTAAAGTCCACAGCATTCTTTTCTTTCCTTTTGTGGTTTCTGTTGGTATGTATTTACAACTGTAGTTGCAAATGGTGAACTATACAGCAAACACATGTTACATCACTTTGCTCTATTCACAGGGCAGTTCTGTTTTTACAAAAGTACTAACTCTTGAACTTGAAAGAAAAATACTGGAGTAACAATTCCTAAGTATTTGTTAATAGAGACTGAGAAAGCAAGACACCTTTACTTCCATCATTTGCACTTTAGAAAAGCAAGTTTAAAATGTAAATTTAAGAGTGTTTGTGGTAATAACTTGTGGCAATAAATCTAAATCTGAATTCTAGCTGAGTGGTCATCAGCTCATAATGGATGAGGAACAATGCACGAAGTACTGAACAGTGCCTGGCCAGTTGGTGTTCAGTGAGTGAGGCATCTATATTTTAATGAACATAACTTCAAAAGTGGCTATTCAGGTCTTCTGAAACTAACCAATCAAGAGAATTTTAAAAATACCTTAAAATTCTTACCTTTGTTTATTTTGACTCCACCAAAAGAATACTTACAATAAGAGGCTTCTTTGTAAATCAATATTTTGAAATACTCCTTGAGAATGAGGCAATGTTCTTCCCATAATACAAGGACTTTAACCTTAAACTTCTGCCCTTGATCCAGTCAGAGTTCATCAAACAGTTACATACATCCAACTGTCAATTTAACCTTAACCTTAGTCTTAACCTTAATCTGCTACTTAACCTTTCATTTTCCCAGATGACAACCAAAGTTCACACTGATTGTGGCTTGCCACTGTTAAATATTCATCCCAGTGTATGATTTGAAACTGTCACTTTTATAGAAAACAGCAGAAATCCTGATTTCCTGATGGGAAAAATAATTTCTATACTATTTTCAGGATCTGCTTCCTTTATCATTAATCTATATTTAAGTGTATCTATGAATATATGAACACATATGTATGTTTTATATATTATGCTTACTGAACTACATATGTATTTATTCACATTTAATATGTATACTTATCCTTATCAAGAGATTGGTCACTGACTGTTAAGTTGTAGTTAGATGAGAGAAATAAGTTCTGGTATTTTATTAAGGAGATAGGAGACTAATCCATGCCAATTACTCAATGATAGACATGTAGGGATGAAAAATTAAGATCTGATACAATTAAGAGAAAGTAGAAAGGAAATGATGGGTTTGGGGCATTAAGACTAGACTTTACTAAACACTGGCCATCGAGTGCTATAATTAGAGGAATTGGCTGGCCAGGGTAGGATTGTAGGTAGAGACTGTAGCTAACTTTGATAAGTCTATTGAGTAATTGCCATGGATTAGCCTGCTATCTCCTTAATTCTTTTAAAACACACAATTCTGCCGGTTATCTAGTGCAATATCCAATTTCCACATTCAAAATCCAAGGCTCCAGGAGCAAAATATCTTACCAAAAGAACCTGAGCAAATTTAACAATTCTCAATGCATGAATGCAAATAGCTTTTAAATTAAAACAACAAAAGTAAAGAACACAGTCAGTTTTATAAATTAATCTAGTTATCTTGCAGTCAGAACGAAATGTTTTAAAAGGAGCAATCTTGTGAGAGGCTTTTATAACTGCTTAAGAAAAATAAAACAAATTCCTTGTGAAAGTAAAGGAGATATAAAGGAGTACCTGGTATCTATTATTGATATTTACCTATCTTGGGAAAACCTCTCTAGTTTATGTTCTTTGTTATCTATTTGTCTAGATAACAGAAAAACAATGTGTTTGTTGTATTCTCTTGTGTGGCTGCCTCACAAATACTGAATATTTTTTTGTTAAGATTATTTTTAACTCCTCATCTAGAATAACTGTATAGTGATTGTTTCCTTAAGCCTCAGGGATCAAATCTCCCATTCAATTCCTGTTTTTATAAATGTTGCTCCAAACTTAACTATACAACTATGAACTTACTTGAGATAGAATTTGATTTGGTCACAATTTTTCTTGCATTGCTTTAAGGATGCTCTTCTGTTTTGGACTATTGATTCACCTAGAAGGTTTTAGAAAGACAATCAGCACTTCTGTCTCAGGATGACGCTAAGGTGCTTTGCTGTTATCTGGTCATCTTAAGTGTTAAAAGAATGTTCTGATCCCAGGAAGACAAGTGGGCAGCACCAGCCCCCAAACACAGGATGCAGTCTGCTGTCTCACACATCCTGCTCTTGATCCCAGAAAGGAAGAGG